ATGTATGGCCTATGACATGAACTAAAGGGGGGAAATGCAAGTGAAAGGAGGTATGCAGGGTGGAGGGGTATAATGGGGGGGAAATGGGACAACTGTAATAGCATAATCAGTAAACTATATTTTAAAAAAATCACATTAGTGTTCAAAGAATTTGACCTGTATAAAAGTTTAAAATCATAGGGGAGTCCACACATAATCCTCATTCCTGAGCTAAAACATGGGTCATGGGTGGCTTTCACCATTTCCTAAGGGCTAAACTACAGAAAGTGATATTAATGATGAACGAGGAAAATAAAACATGCACCATATTTACTGACAATTTTTAAATGGTTGTTTGTTTTCCTTAAAAGAACATCCTAGTGCATTGCTTCAATTTTATGATAATATAAGTGTGTTCTTCTGTCAATAGACTATCTGTAACTTTGAGACCTGGTAGAAATTATGACTTTTCCCATTTAAATGTGAAAAACACCACAGATGACAGGCTCCAGAGTTCTCAACCCAAATGCACCACCTCCCAGGAGCAGGACTAGCTGAGTCCTGAGCCTCCTGGTCCTCAAGACAGAGGGCAGTGCCTGCATGCTGCCCCTGAGCCCTGCTGTCCTGGAGTTTGGACACTGATTGGCAGGTTGCCCATGGCAGGAACAGTCTGGCACAGCCTCTGTGGCTCAGTCCTGACCATCTGGCCAGTGCACAGACAGGGCGGGTTGGGGGCAGCTCTGGAAGCCGAGTCCCTACAGGAAAGCACCTACGCCACACTCGGCTCTCAGAGCAGCTCCCAGGCAGACCCTACCCCTCAAACAACTGCCCTGCTTTCCTCCGAGAGGCCCTGCATGTCCCCACAGGTGGAAGCTATAAAGACCAGGAGGCCTGTCCCAGAAGTGGCCCTGATGAATTCCATCACCTGGCTCTTGTCTCCAATGCCAGGATAGTGACTGTGGCATGTGGTTTGGTCACTGTGCACTTTGAGTGCCCGAACCATTGTCAGAGAGGCAGGGCAAAAGGCACTCTGAGGTTGACCAGGAACCCACAGTGAGAGCAGGAGCCAGAGCCAGGGAGCTGGCATCTGAGATGAACCCCTGGTGACAGATGAGGAGTCCAGTCCTGGTGCCCAGGCAGGGACTCTGAGCAGAAGCCTCCCCCAGCGACAATGTCTGGGAGGATGAGACAGCAGCCAGGCTGGATATGCAGCTCTGCCTGTGTGGCCCTCACAGACACTCGATAAGTAGACCTTAAATGGATGGTGGAAACCACACAGCGGAAGCCTGCGACCTCATGTGACACCTGGGGCCCGAGCATGCTCCTTACACATACAGGGGCAGAGGTGTCAGCGTGGAAGGAACCAGCAAGTGCCCACGGCTGCCCCAGGGCTGGGCCTTTCCCCTCGTACAGTCCGGGGGAGGACAGGGGTCTCCTAACAGGGTAGGTTGGATGCCCATTCATTCCCCCAACATCACAGCCCTGCCCACTTCCACCTGGTGAGCGACTTCTCTCCCTGGGGTGGACCCTGGGGACAAATTGTGTCCTTCCTCTTCTCAGGGCCACCTGACCTGGCACGAACTCTGGACTCTCGACCCCAGGTGGAAATACTACCAGAGGGGAAGGAGCCCAGCCTGACCACAAACGAAGTCAGGGGACAATTTCTTGTGCCGAGTGGCCCTGGTCTGTGGGGACAGCTTGCTGTGGGCCCTGAACCCATCTCACCAGCCATGGTGTCCTGGGGAACAAGGGGCCCTTCATGTGCAGGGTGAGACAGGATCACCCAGGCTCTGTGGTTGCATCCATCCCAGGGAAGCTGAGAGTCTCTCCAACCCTAACAGAGGAACCCACAGGGTGCCCCCAGGTAAGTCCATGTGTCCACATGGAGCAGCTCCAGGTCCTGGGCCCAGTGGGGATCCCAAAGCAAATGACAGACAGGAACACAGATCACTTGGATACAGTGCCTTTATTCTGTGATGGGGGACACATGGGACATTCTGTGCATCAGATCCCCAAGCAGGCATCGTGTTTGAAAGCCTCACAAGATTCTGCACCCAGTCCTTCCTTGCATCCTCAGGAGAGAGAGCTCCTCCTGGGTGGACAGGTCTCCTGACACTGGATCAGGACCCTTCTGGACAAGCATCATCCTCTCCCTGGGCTCATCCTGCACTGGATAGTGTCAGACAGCCTGGATATTTAGGAATAGGGCTGGTCCCTGCAGCTCAGCCTGGCAGCCAGAGCCCCCCCCCCCCCCCGTACCCAAGACTCAGGGCCACCTCCCATCCTTTGGGACTTGGAAGCATCCCTGGTGCAGCCCTGACTTGGCCAGAAGTCTCCTTATGGGTACTTCTCCTTATATCACCCTCAGGGTGTGACATTAGGGTTCACACAACACAAAGAAAATAAATGCATGACCCTGGTTTTGGGAAGGAGGTGGAAAAAGAGCCTGATTTACATACCACAGACCCTTCTGGGTCCTTATCATTTGTCTGCTTTGTCTCACCTGCTGTTCCCAGGGGCCTAGGAGCACCTGCTCTCTCAGGGGTCCCTGTGCACCACTCTTGGGGAGGGCAGGGTGGCCCCAGGGAAGGCCCCCAGGCAGAGGACAGAGGTGGCCCCAATGGTCAGGGACCACAAGGACAGGCTTAGCCAACAGACACAGAAAGGGGGGTCTCCCTAAAATCATCGACCTCAACAACCAGGGAGCCCACAGCCACCTGACCACCCACCCACCACAGACGCCTCTTCCCAGGACACTCAGGACACCTCTCCCTTCACAGCCATGAGCTGCAGGTCCTACCAGGCTCCTGGTCCTGGTCTCTGACCCTGGAAGCAGAAACCAGGCCAGCGACACCTGAAGACAGAGGGTGGGTCTGCTCAACAGTCATCACCCAGCTTGTCCCTTTGTCACCCCAGAGTCACTTCTGTGACCTTCCTACTGGGAGGACACCCACCTTCCCAGAGTATCTGAGAGCCTGGGGGAGACCCAGGGCCCAGAGGGGTTTCTGTGTCACAAACAGAAAGAATCCCCAGATTTGGGGACTCCTGGGACTTGCTCTATGGTGCTCACAATGCCATGGCCAGGACACAGCATAGGTCAGCAGTGGGGTTCCCTGGGAGGGTCACGTTCTCATGGGTCAGGGGCCAGGGGTCCCCACCAGCCTTGTCACTGAGAGTACTCTGCAGACCAACAGGATCAGCATCCCGGACAGCTTGTTAGATGGAGACTGTGGGGGCCCCAGACCTGCTGGGTCAGAATCTGCATTGGAGCTGGATCTGCAGGCTCTCCCTGTGCCGGGGGAAGGAAGGGGGGGCTTCCCCACCCCACATCCTGGGCTCTCAGTCTGGCTGGGGATCCACAGCTGGACAGCTGCTGAAGCAGAATTTCTAAGGTGTCACCAGGGTATCGTAATTTTTAGAAACTTCCACCAATGATCAGATGCACTAGAGGTGACATCCCTGTGACAAGACCTCGTGTTGTAGCCCCTGGACTCCTGCTCTGAAGAGAAAAGCCAATGGGGGTGAGAGAGGGCTGTACTGAGGTGAATTTGCACCCCACACAGAGCTGTGGGGATGCCCTGCACACAGACACCCCAAGCTGGAGCTTGGCCCGTTGTGAGGGGAGGAACAGCCCCAGGTGTAAACCGGTGGAGTTAGACCAGACCTCTGTTCTACAACCTAGGCACATGAGTTTAGGTGAGAGAAGAAGTCAGAGCCAAGAGAAAGTTTCTACAGGGGTGTCAAACTCATTTTCACTAGGGGCCGCATCAGCCTCGAAGTTGCCTTCTAAGGGCCAAATATAACTTCAGGACTGTATAAATGTAACTACTCCCTAACTGGGGCAAGGAGCTTGGCGCTGCCACCAGGTAGAAACAAGGTGCCAGGGTGTATAAGAGAAGGTGGAGGGCCGATTCTGCCTGCAGGCCTTGTGTTTGCCACCTGTGATCTACACAGTCACAGAGGTAGAACAATGGAGCCTTAGCAGAACTGGACTCAGGAGACAAGATACAGAAGCAAAAGAAGTGCCCTTGGAGCTCGGGAAAAAAAGAATAAAAATACGCACCTTGAGGGGAAAATGGGGTGGGAAAGGTGTGGGCGTGCATAAGGGAGAGAGCCGCACTGGGTCCTCCCCCTTGAGGGTATTTGTCTGGGGGTCTCAGGGAAGGACTTCAGTAGAATATTCATCCGATGTTCACTTGTGTCCTTTCAGGGTCAGGGTCATTACTGTCGGGCCAGCGCCAGGGCAGGAGGTCATTGGTCAGTGCAGCTGTTCCTGATGTCAGCCATGGCGCCCCTGTCTGGTGTCCTGCCTTTCTGGGCCTGGAGCTGAAACGCCTCTGAGGCCTCCATGCATCTGATGTGGGTCTGGCCTCATGGTCCTGGGGGCTCAATGCTGAAGGGCTGTTCTCCAGTCTCCTAACTTGTTCCTCTCTAAGGGACCTAGAGGGTGACTGACCACATGTCAGGGAGACAGAGGTCAAGAGAGGGTCCGCAACCACATGACCGCAATAGGAAAGGTCAGGGGGACTGAATCACATGACCAGGGATGTGCTAGGAGAGGAAAGGTCTCCCTGGGAGCAAGGTCTCAGCCTGGGTTGGCTGTTGCCAGGTTCCTGGGGATTTCCACCCTGGGGACCTTGTGTCTATTGTCCTACTCTGCTCCTGTGTGTCTAAGTGCATTGGGCACAAACCAGGGGTGTGTGTGTGTGTGTGTGTGTGTGTACATGTGTGTATGGGGAAGAGTCACTGCTGGAAAAGGTAGCAGCCTAAGCTGTGACAGGGAACTGAAATGCAGAGGAAAGGAAAGGGGAAGAAGGGAACAGGGGAGGCAAGAATGAGGGGAGGGTGAGGAGGATCCTGGGCACAGACCCCGCCCCAGTCCACATGACCCCGCCCCAGTCCACATGACCCAGGAAGTGATCTTAACTTCCTAGGAGGAGGCTCAACAGAGGGGAGGAGGGACTCAGATCCCACACATCAGAACCGCAGTGCCTGTGGGCATTTCTGGACCCAAGCTCTTCTCAGAGAGGGAGGGACAGAGCAGACAGCAGAGTTCATGGAGGCCCCCTCAGCCCTTGCCCACAGATGACTCAGCTTGTGGAAGGAGCTCCTTCTGGCTGGTGAGACAGCAGAGTTACCTGGGAGTGGACAGGGGGATCAGAGCCAGAGAGTGGCGGGGGACTCCTGGAAAGCTCAGGGCTCTCAGGTTCAGAGGGGCTCCAGCATTGGTGGCCATGCTGCTGACCTTGACCATAGGAGACACACTCACTCTCAAGCTAACATACCCTCACCACACACACACACACACACACACACACACACACAGAGAGAGAGAGAGAGAGAGAGAGAGAACAAGGCTGAGAGATGAACAGTTTTGCTCAGGACCCAGGGCCTGATTTTTCCATCCCAACATATAGACCCAAATATTGATCAATTTCTCTTTCCTCCTAGTCTCACTGTTAACCTTCAGGAATTCTCCCACCACTGCCCAACTCACCGTTGCCTCAATCAATGCTACAGAAGGGAAGGATGTGCTTCTCCTTGTCCTCAATCTTCCTCAATCTTCCTGAGCCTTATAGGCTATGCCTGGTACAGAGGGAAAAGTGTGGACAGCAGCCGTGGAATTGCATCATATGTAATAGAGACTCAAAAATTTACCCCCAGGCCTGCACACAGTGGTCGAGAGACTATATACCTCAATGGTTCCTTCTGTTCCAGAAGGTCACCCTGCAGGACACAGTATACTACACCGTACAAGCCATAAGCAAAGATTTGCAGATAGAAGAAGGAACTGGACAGCTCTGTGTGTACCGTGAGAGCTTCCTCCCTTACCTCTGGGTGTCAGGTGGGGTGAATTCTACTCACACACAGGACTAACAGCCCTGGACTCTGCCTCCATCCCGCTCTGCTTCACGTCTCAGGTTGGGTTTGGGCAGGACACACACAGTGGAGACAAACTTACTAAGATCAGAGTTCCCCTCCCAGATTCCAGCCCTGCACTCATTCACCACAGAGAGAAGGACCAGTTTGATGGGAGTGACTCAGCCGAAAGACACCACCAGTCTTAGTCCAGACCCATGGCCCCTGTCTTGAAAGGCTCACAGTCAATTCCCTGTGGTGGGACAACATGTTAATGTCTCAGACGCAGCTCAGTGAATAAGGGGTTGTGTTGGCACCTTTCACAACAAGGCTGGGGCCCAGCTCAGAGGGACACTATGGCCCTTACACAGGCCAGGAGCTTCCCCTTCCTTCTGATAACATCATGTGTGGCTTTGCTCTATTTCCTCCAGATGGCCCAGACGCCCCCTCCATTTTTCCCTCGGACTCCCATTACCCACAAGGAGCAAACCTCAGCCTCTCCTGTCATGCAGCCTCTAACCCACCTGCACAGTATTCTTGGCTTATCAATGGGAGACCCCAGCAAGCCACACAGGAGCTCTTTGTTGCCAACATCACTGTGAGTGATAATGAATCCTATACCTGCCTCGCCCATAACCCTGTCACTAGCCTCAGTAGGACCACAGTCAGGACTATCACAGTGTCTGGTAAGTGCCTCCTGGACCACCAGCACCGAGCTCTGGGGTGGAGGTTGGTCTGCTTTTCAGAAAAAAGCTTGGATGCTGTCTCCATGCTGTGCCCATGGACACACAAATCACAAACCCTTCCCCTGAACCCTCCCCCACATCTCTGTAGTCTCTCTCCTCCCCTTGCTCCTCTGATTTCTCAGGGCAGAGCTGGGGCCCAAGCTTGGAAATGAGGAAGTGGGTTCTCTTAGACTCAGAAAGCCCCAGATGGGGGATGGGGCTTCACAGAGAGGGTAAAACAAGGGGGCACACAATCAAGTTGCTTCTTCTGTCACTAACATGTTTCTTGTGTCACCTCCTTCTTTTCTGTGACCCACTCCAAGACCTACAAGGAATGTACAAGACTTTGAGTCAAGCTCACCTCTTTTATACCAAACAAAAGGGTGAGCCCCTCCCCCACAAGGTGGGTGAGCAAGACAGACCCCTGCTCCCTGCTCTGCTCCAGGCTCACCTGGTGCCTGACCCTTATGTCCCCTGTGCTAGGACAGGGCCCGTGGATGAGATGCACAGGTGCCCTGTTCTCAATCTGATCAAACTGTTCCACCCACCAACACCAGAGCCTCCCTCAGGCCAGGCTGCTGGAAACAGCCACAGTGTAGCCACTGCTGGGCTGTGTCCTGGCTCTGAGGCCACCAGCTGTGTAACACTGTGCAACACCAGTGTGTGTGATGTTCCAGAGGGGAGCAGTGAGCAATGGTACTTACCTGACAGATGGGTAGACTCTCCCATGAAGTCCCTTCACGGGACAGAAGAGGCAGTGCCACAGAGAATATAGACTCCAGAGGAGGCTGAGAGTCCCAGCCTTTGCTAACCTGTGACTGCTTCTCTCTAGAGGTTTCTCTTCTCTGTGATATTCACTCCACAGGCCAGAAAGTGAGAGTCCTATTCACACTGAGAAAGCCTTTGAAATGGAGTTTATTGAGGCCCTTAGGTCAGGAAGACTGGCTTGTCTGCTCACATTGTTCTATAAATTATTTAACAAACAAGAAAAGCCTTCCCTTGTCTAGGTAAAGCCATCATATGGAGAGAGGGTTTGATCACATAGAAAGTCAGACAAAATTACAGGAAAGAGTCACAGAAAAGCCAGTGGGTGAAAAATTCCACCTGAGTCTGAAGATGCTGGACACTTGGGCTCAGAAGAGGTTCCTGGTGCTGCTTCTACAGGTGTGCAGGGGGACAGGCCAGAGGTCATCCTGGGGTGATCTGGAGTCACAGGGAGAGACATAGACCTCTCCTTACATATTGTCACCTGAACAAAGACACTGGTCCTCCTTCAGAAGTCAGGGCCATCCTCTGGTGATCACATCAGAGCTCCATGGGGGCTGTGATTGGCTGAGGCTCTGAGGAAGGAGCCTATTCTCAGTCAGTCACCTTCTACTTTCTCCATCCGAGCCAGGAACACCGCCACCACAGAACAGAAGGACACCATGGTGCTGACCTGCCTCACAAATGACACCAGAATCTCCATCTGGTGGTTGTTCAGGGACCAGAGACTCCTGCTCACAGAAAGGACAAAGCTGTCCCGGGACAACAGCACCCTGATCATACAGCCTGTCAGGAGGGAGGATGCTGGGAGCTATCAGTGTGGGGTCTCCAGCCCCATAAGCACCAGCAAAAGTGACCCCCTCAGGCTGGATGTGCAAAGTAAGTGACCCTCGACCTCTCCCACCTGCTCCTCCATACATCTCACAGGCAGGGGAATGAGGTGGATTCAAGCCTTGAGGAATGGGGAGCCCAGTGAGAGTCTGCAGAGCAACAGGGGAAGCCCCAGAATGACACTAGTCTCGTCCGAGTCTCAGTTCCATGTGCACAAGCTGGCTGACCTCAAGCTGCTGCTCACCCAACTGAACCTCGATTTTCTCACTGTAAACTGGAATAAACAGCTGGATTGTATGACAGTTGTGAGGATGTTCGTTATGAGATTTAGTGAGATTAAAGCCCTTCAGGTCACTCATAGGCAGGACTCTCTCAGGGATGTCAGATAGTGTCATTATTTGTATGAACATTGTTGCCATCGGCTGTCAGTCCAGCAGAACTGGATGAAAATGTTGTTTATCACTCACCACATGTGTGACCTCCAATGATTTTTAAGCACCTCAAGTCTCATATTGTGTCTGTGCTCCATGGGGGTGACATCCTGTCCCTCCAGGGGATGGGAGGATCAGATGACATACAGGGTTTCCCACCTTCCCTGGGCCACTGAACACAGTTGGCACATCCTTACCATGAATCACCACTGAGTGGACAGGTCAGTGTCTGCCCTCTGAGAGTGTCATTAGGGCTGGAGAAGAGGAAACAGAGGGAAGAGACACAAGGTGACAGGGAAGAGGAGTGAGGAGGACAGTGGACAGGACACGGGAGTGGCAGGTGTGAGAGAATGTGCACAGTTAGAGCCAATGGAAGGTTCCAGTGATCGAAATGACAGGAATCAACCACAGGCAGAAGGGTGTCACAAGGATGGTGCAATGACAACACTCCCAAATGCACACAGATGGTGACAGTTCCTTCCACCCTAACCAGGCCTCCCCCCCTTAAAGGCCCCCCTGGTTTCCTATGAGTGGACTTGGACCCTCTCCCCTCCCCTTTTCCCTTCTCCTTCAGCAAAAAATAATTACATGGGCTTTTTTGCAGGGACCATTGCTAGCATCATGATTAGGGTCCTCCTCCTGGTGGTGCTGGGGACCTCACTGTGGTATTTCCTGTACCGCAGGAGGACTGGGAGATACAATGGCATTGTCTTCACCCTAATCTTGCCCACCTCAGGCTGACTCCCTGCTGACCCCTATCTGACCAATGGCCAGGAGAAGGAGACCCCTTTCTGATGCTGGGCTGGCTCTCTGTGGCCTTCCAACTTCCCCATGGACGTTCCTAACTCCCTCCCTCCAGCTCCTCCTGCACCAGCTGCTGACCAGGGCAGTTTTCTCAACAGCCTCCTCATCTACACATTAGTCACAACTAAGGAACTGTCCCCTCAGGATGGTCCCGGTTCACTCCTCACACCTGCACGGGGCTGAGAGGGAGTAAGTGCTCAGTGAGGCACCTGCTGCTGTTTGAGTCCACCCACCCTGTGAGGGGGATCTGCTGCTCCAGGATCTGAAGGGCATCCTGCCCAAGGTCACACAGCTGAGGGCAGCAGAGCCTACACAGGCGAGGTGGGCTTGGGCCCTCCCAATTGACCAGGTTGGGAACCACAGCCCCTGATGTGTGAGACAGGAGACCTGGGCTTGGACAGGTCAGCAGATACTGTGGTGTCATTTTGACCACCTGTGTGATTCAAATAAAGGGGACCTTCCCCTAGTTTGCTGGGTTTTTTTTATTAGAAGGACCTTCTAGTACAAATTCACCTGGAACTCTGGGTTGTTTCTTTCCTCAATTACATCGAGAAAAAAATTCTAAGTTACCCTAGTCCCCATTTAGTTTCATGAGAAAAAAAAAAAGGCGGGAAGGTGGAGGTGGGGGGTGTGCTAAAGGGAAGGCAGACTCTGCCCAGGTTGCTCAGTTGTGTGTGCTGCTGTCCCAATGTACCAGGGTTACAGGTCCAATCTTCAGTCAGGGCACATGCAGGAATGTGCCAATAAATGCATGGGTGGGTGGAACTCTCTCTCTCTCTCTCTCTCTCTCTCTCTCTCACTCCCTCCTTTCCTCTCTCTTTCTCACTCCTTCTCAAATCAATCAATAAAAAATGAAATAGAGGAAATACAGATATGAGAGGAACTGCAACTAACCAGGAGAGCTCTGGGCTGTCCTCACATGGTTCCAGGGACCAGACCATGGACACTCCCAGGGTTTGTCCCTTTGCACATGTGCCCCATATCTCAGGAGCACCCAATAGGGGTCCTGTCATGTTCTCACAAAGATGAGCACGGATCCTTCTCTGGGGTCATGGCCAGCACCCATGGGTAGGGCACATATTCTGGGTGGGGCTCCTCTGAGTCTCCTAAACTTCTTATCCTTCCTCCTTCCTCACCTGGACCCTGGTGGCCTCCACAAAGAAACATGCCTACACCAAATACAGGATCCAGGGAGCTGGGCTCTGTCACTGAGTTTCTGCTTTGACCCAAAGACTAGCCCTCAGGTCATCTTCACATCTGGGGGACACAGACAGAGGCTGTCAAAGCAACCAAGGTGGGGAGGACCCAGGACTCCTGCCCTGAGAAGCCCCTCCTTGGCATGTCCATGACCTCAGCCCCCACTTCTCATCAGCCCCCACTCTCCTACTACACATGGATCTCACTGACACAGTGTCCTTTCCACAACTCAGTATCCTGATGTTCCACCAACAAACTCCCACCCAGACTCCCATGGAGACAGCACCAAGTGTCTCCTCCTGCACCTGGTGCAGATCCTCCCACACACACCTCACCTGCAGCCCCCTCTGCACACCTAGGCCTGCAGTCCTCAGTCCTTCCCTGAGGGCCCAAGATGGGTGCTGTTCCCATGCAGGTCCACTCAGGTCAGGGTGCCCATGATCACCCAAGCAAAGCTGGTCCAACACCAAGGCTCAGGAAGACATTCTGTGTTGCCCAAGCATCACCTGTCATGAGATGAGAGAGTAACAAACCATCACAGGTTCACATCATGACTGAGCTCTGATTCCCTCCCTGTCCCACGCACATGAGGTTGGGTTAAACAAAGCAACGCCTCTTCCTGGTTTCCTACAGCTGCTACAGCCAATCACCACACACTTATCAGAGTCACATGGCACAAATCACAACCTTTACATGGCTGGTTTCTTTTGGAGGTTCTTCCTGGTGTCCTCACCTTTCAAACTGTTAGAGTTGCCTGCATCGTGTGGCTTGTGGCCCCACCTCCATCTTCAGAGCCGGCAGTGCAGCATCTTGAAGCCTGTGAACTCTGATTCCATCACCACATCTCCTGGGTTCCTGCCTCTCCTGCCCCCTCTGTCCCTTATAAGGACAGGTCCCTTGTGATCATAATGGGCCCAGTGATGAACCACCTTAAATTCCTGATCACATGATCTTTCACCTGTAAGTTCCCCTTATCAGCAGACATATTTACAAATTCCAGGGACAGAATGTGGACTTTAGGGGTCCTTTTTCTGTCCATACCCCCCTCTCTGGGCTAAGACCATCATCTTCCTCCACCATGAACTGCCTGTGGGCAGCCTGGACTTGGTCCTGCTGACTCTGGGGTCAGTTCATGCAGTGACGCCCACAACACCCTCCTGCCTCCAAGGGAGGGAGACGGATGCCCTTCCAAGGGCCCAGCAGCCTCCTCCACCTCCTCCTGTTAGTAAAGCTCCTTGTAAACAATGAGAGCAAGGCAGACACAGCTCCCAGCTCCCACTGCACAAGCCCTGGTTGCTGGTCGACAGCACCATGGATGGGATCTTGGGATGCTGGTCCCTGGGGCTACATCAGCGTGCACACCACGAGAAGAGACTTGTTTCTATTCCACATGATAAAGACACAATGAGGGGGATGTTATTATCGGGAAAACCTGATTCTGTTCCAATATGTGAATCGTGACCCCCTTGCACATGGCTGCACATCAGTTGATGGCACCGTCCACACAGGGCCAACTGCTGCACCCAGAGGGTGACCTCTTAGACGCTGACCATGCTGTGGCCTCAGGAAATCTCCCTGCCTTGAGGGTCAGGCCACTGTCTTACCTACAACAGAGGGGACGTTCCCAGAAGAGCTCTTCTTCATATGCTCCCACCACACTAGGTGCTGTCCTTTTTTCTCCCTCATGATTATCACTCCTGAGTCCCTCCTACAGCTGCTAAGTGCCAAGCTCCCTGCTCCAACACAGGGATCACATCAAGCCTGTCTCTGTGGAGTCCCCAGGCCAAGCCCAGTGATAACACAGAGGAAGTGCTCAGGGAGTGCTCACAGGGAAGAACATGATAAAGGAAAAACAGAAGACCAGACAGACGGGACACTGGAAGACACATAGGCACTGTCACCACTGAGGGTTCTCCCGTGCACCTGAGTTCTGGACTCTCAGGAAATCAGGAGGACAGGTGTACACAGGTGTGAGGGATGAGCTCCTTCAGGACAGGGACGCTGACCACACCCACCTGCACATCTCAGCTGTGAGCAGCCCCACTCCCCACTGTGCACTCTCCTGGCACCACCTGCTCTTCTCACACAGGGTCCTGACCAGTCCCAGAACCCCTGACCCAGATCTAAGCTCATGTCAGCACTGGCCAGGACTGAGTCCCTTGACTGCAGAGGGAGTCAGGTCTGAAGGCAGTGAACAGGGAGTCAAACAAACACCTGGGGAAGAGTTTGTGAAATAGAGGAAATAGGTTCAGAGGTGCTGAAGGAATGGCAACTCTACTACTGACCTTGACCATGGAATGCACACACACACACACACACACACACACACACACACAGAACAAGGCTGAGAGATGAAGAGTTGTGCTCAGGATAAAGGACCTCATCTCTCCATCCAGTATATAGATCCAAATGTTGATCAATGCCTCTCTTCCCTCCTAGTCTCACTCTTAACCTTCAGGAGCCTGCCCCCACTGCCCAACTCACTATTGAGTCAGAGCCGCCCATTGCTGCTGAAGAGGAAGGTGTGTTCTCCTTGTCTACAGTCTGCCTGAGAACTGCAGACTATGCCTGATAGAGAAGGAATGTGTGCATAACAACATTCTCTTTTACCATGTGTAATAGATAAGGAATTGCACCCGGGCTTGTATACAGCCTTTGAGAGACAATGTACTCCAAAGGACCCCTGCTATTTCAGAAGCTCATCATGGAGGACACAGGACAATACACCAGAAAGCCATTAAGACACATTTTCAGAGTGAAGAAGGAACCGGATAGCTCCATGTGTGCCATGAGCTGCGGTCTAGCCTTGGCAGGTCTCAGGGTCCACGAAGGATGGATGGTGCAGGAGATGAATGAAGAGTCAGACACCCAACTGGACACCAGACAACAGCCAGCCTCTGTGGATCTGACCAAACTCTCAGAGTCTGAATAAGCTTTATTTTTATAGAGATTGTTACATAACATTAAAGGAACAGGTGCATGGTGTGATCAGTTAAGCAGAGAAAATCAATACAGAGGTAACTAGGAAATCCCATAGATTCAGTTATGTTGAACAAAGGTTATTCGGCCAAGATGGAGGTGTAGGTGGAAATACTGTACCTCCTCACACAACCAAGTTTAAGGACAACAAAGATTTAGAAACAAAAACGCAACCAAAACAGACAGAAAATTGAACTCTACTGAAGTCCGACAACAACGAACCATTCATCCAGACAGGTAAGAGGGACGGACTCGGTGGCTGGTGGAGAGGGGTCACAGAAGAAAAAAGAGGCCAGACAGACCCAGGTGCACAGATGGTGGTTGGCAGGACCCAGGCCTGGGGTGGCAACAGGTGGACCCAGTGAGGGTGCATGGAGGCTGGCGGACCACAGTCACACATTCACACACAGATAAACCAGGCAAAAAAAACGAGCAGTGAGACAGACCACACAACCCAGGGCCCCAGTGACGGGAATTAAAGCCTCTGGGCACAGACTTGCCCTCCCTGCACAGGTGATGCTGCAGCAGCTGCCGTCCCCTGACCACAGGGCCTGTCCTGCACCTCAGTTCCCCACAGGGCACTGCTCTGACTGAGGGCCTCACCTCACAGCACATGCAACGCAGCAGTGGGCTCCTGCCCATGGAGGCCACTGGTCTCACTGTCCTCAGACAGCTGACTTGACAGAAAAGTGAAATGGCCTTTTGGAAACTCAGTGACAGCACCAGCTAGGTGACTGTACCTTGCAGGGCTGGGGAAGGCACTCCAGGAAGACGAATATGATTTCAATGAGTGACGCTGCTTCTCCCAGAGCCAGGTATCACAGGTCCAGGCATCAGGGGGAGGAATAGGAGAGACACCACTCATTCTTACCTCTAATGATCCACTAGCACATGCCCTGACCCCTGTTCCCCAGACACCATGCTCTCTGCTGGCCTAGAGGGCTCAGATCTGGCAAATGAGAGAGGCTTCCACCCAGAGACACAGCAGTCTCTCACCAGGACTCACCAGGGCCCCTCGCCCTCCAGCTCTCCAGACAGTGCAGCACCTCGGAGAGCACCACTCCCAGCTCCACCCTTCCTCCCTCACTGGGGCCAGGGCTCAGAGCAAGTGAGAGGCTGCTCAGCACAGAGATGGTGAGGGGGCAGCAACCACAAGGACAGCTGCCTGGAACAGGAACAGGGGAGGCACTGGCTGAGGCTGCCCACAGAGCCCAGGAATAAGGAGGAGCAGGGCAGGAACCCCAGGAAGGGGGAGGGGAGGGGAGGGGAGGCACACAGCATTAGGGGTTCTGCTGGGCCCTGGGTGGGACTGTGGGTGTGAGGCAGGCTCAGGACCAGGACTTCACCCTCACAGCCCACGTGACACAGAGCTCCCACCACAGCCCTGGATCAACGTGGACTCAACTCCCGACAGCTCAGCCACAGGCACAGGGTGTGCATGAGCCCTAGGTCACAGTTAACTGCACAGGAAGCAGCTCCACTCACCTGATCAGAACCACAGAGAAGTGTGTGCTGCTGTGTGTCCCCAGAACCCGGGCCCCTGTCCTGGGTGCCAGGCCCTGGGAGTGAGAAAGGACCTTGACTTGTCCATCCTGTCCCCTCTGCTCCCCTGACACAGACTTTCCCCTCCTGACACACCTGGTTCCTGCTCCTCCTTCTCCCCACAGACCCACCACCCAGCACTCCAGCTGCACACACCACTCCACCCAGGGCCACCCTCAGTGTAGCCTGCTGGAGACAAACATAAGCAGATACACATTCCTGGAACTGTGAGCCTGGTGACATCTCTCTGAGGGAAGAGGCAGGGCCAACGTACTTACAGGAACAGAGACTCAGACTCACGGACATGGAACATTAACATATGTTCGACCTCCATGAAATGTCTATGAAATCTTGTCAAATAAACATGGTGACTGCTACACTCCAACTCTGTCCACCAGAGGGCAGCAGAGATACTCCACTGATGGGAGCCACCCCAGGGTGCTGCTAATGTCCTGGGCACCCCCAATCAGCAGCACCCAGGCGCAGCAGGGTCTGACCCTCACCAGCATCATTCTGTCCACAGTCCTCTTCTCTCTCCATTCTCCCCACACGGGACCCCATCAGCTCCTCCAACTAGTTTGGTGTCTGTCCAGCAAAGGCCGGCCCTCTGCAGGCAGCTGCTCTCCACACACCCTCCATGTCCTTCCAGGGGTGAATGACCACTCACATTCCAGGCCACACTCAAAAGACCTGTGAGTGACATCTCCTGGGAGTGGGGCGGGGCAGGCAGCAAAGCCCTTGCTCTTCTCACAGAGACCTGACAGGGAGCAAACTCTGGGTTCTCCACCCCAGAGAGTCACCACCAGGGAAGGAGGACGTTCCTCCTGACCACCAAGATATCAGGGGATGACTCCCCCACCCACAGGGTCCCTGGTCCATTGGGACCCCTGCCTGTGGTCTCCAGAAGACATCTCACCAGCCAGACCACAGTGTCCTGAGAACAAGGGAAATTTCCCCATGATGGGACTGAGGCTGCTTCCTTCCCAGCCTGAGGGTCCCACAGGGCCTCCCCACCCCCTGCCTGAGTCTCCACATGGAGCTGCTCCAACTCCTGGGCCTGTGGGGAGACCTAGAGCAGATGACAGGCAGGGACACTAACGACATGTGGTGGGGACACACAGGGCAATCTGTGGACCAGCCCCCAGGCCTGAGCCCTCTCCTGAAACACTCAGACCCTCGCCTGGCCTGTCCTTTGAAACTTCGGGGACAAAGAGCTGCTCCTGAGACAACAGTTCCCCCTGGGAGACAGTTCTCCTGACACTGGATCAGGACTCTGCTGGACAACCCCTGTCTCCCACTGGACTCACTCTGCCCTGGGATGGAGTCAGGAATCCAGTGACCAGAAACTGAGACACACAGGAAACTAACGTGAACCTCACTTTGGCTACTGAGGTAGAAAAAGAGCCTGATTTCCACACCACAGACCTCTCTGGGCCCCTTCCACATGCCCACTCTGTCCCACTGGCTCCTTCTGGGGGCCTGGGAGCACCTGCTCTCCCAGGGGTCCCTGCACTGCTCCCCACTCCCTGTCTGGCACCACCCATGGGCAAGGCTGAGTGACCACAGGCAAGTCTCAAGTCCCCAGACAGAAGGCAGAGGCTGTCCCCATGGTAAGGGAGCACATAGACAGGATCACCCAACAAACACAGAGAGAGAGGGTTCCCCTGAAATTGCCCCCTGAGAATCAGGGAGCCCACAGCCACCAGACCACCTACCACCCTCTTTATTGCCAAGACACGCAGGACACCTCTCCCTTCACACCCAGGACTGCAGGTCCTTCTGGGACACCCACCTGGGTCTCTGTCCTTAGAAGCGGAAGCCACACTGGTGACACCTGAAGACAAAGGGTGAGTCCCCTCACCAGTCATCACCCAGCTTGTCCCTTTGTCACCCCAGAGTCACCTCTGTGACCTTCCTGCTGGGAGGACACCCACCTCCCCAGAGCATCTGAGAACCTGGGGGAAACTCAGTGTCCAGCTGGGCTCCTCTGTCACAAACAGAAACATCCCCAGGTTTGGGGGACCTGGGGCTCTCTGTGTGGTGCTGACAGACCCCAGACCAGGACACAGCAGAGACCAACGCTGGGGGGACAGGGTTGTCCTCTCGGGGAAGGGTCTCCATCTGCCTCACTGTTAGAGTGTGCTCCCACGCTCCTGTGATTTTTTTGAATCAACAAGTTCAGATGTTTACAAGAAATGTCAAATGAAACATTCTGATGGATTTATTAACAAGCAGTGGGTTCCCACTTCTGTGTTTTGCGCACTGCTGTATGCCCAGTTTTGAAAACAGCTTGGGAGAGCAGTAGAAGCCCACTAAATATTTGGTAAAATGAAAAAATAAAGAAAGTGAGCTTCACAAGCCAGCAAGACCAACCTCCTCAGAAAGCGAGTCAGATGCAGAGTCTCTGGTCCACTGCTCCCTTGCAGAATCAGGATCTGCAGACTTTAAAAGATATCATTTATTTATTTTTATAGGGAGGAAAGGGAGGGAGAGAAACACCAATGTGTGGTTGCCTCTCACACACCCCAACCAGGGACCTGGTCCACAACCCAGGCGTGTGCCCTGACTGGGAATCGAACCAGCCATCTTTTGGTTGGCAGAGGGACGTTCAGTCCACTGAGCCACACCAGCCAGGGCAGCATCTGCATATTTAACAGGCCCTGCACACCCTCCTGTGCACAGAAGTGGAGCCTCTGCCCGGCCCCTATTCACAGGGTCGTATCCTGGCGGGACACCCACCATTAACGGGACAGCTGTGAAGCAGCATTTCTAAGGAGTCACCTGGCACCACAATCTTCACCAAGTTCCACACATGAAACTATGCACAGCGGGGTGACATCCCTCTGACAAGTTTTCCTGATGTCACCTCAGGACTCCTGCTGGGGGTGGGGGGGATTAAGAACAAGAGAGGCCTAAAGGTGGCCCAACCTGCAGCTGTAGGGAGCGCCCCACCTCGTCGTCCCAGGCTTGTGCGCGTCCACACAGGTCGTGCCTGCGCGCCAACGAGGGTTGGGGGTGTGTGGGTGGAGAATCACTTAGGAAAAAGGCAGTGAGGGTGCAGCAGGTGCCAGGGTCTGAAAAGTGGACGAAACAAAAACGGGAAGGAGGAAACAGGGCAGGCAGGAATGGGGGAGGGGAGGGAGGGACCTGGGCACTGACCACGCCCCAGCCCACGTGACTGGGGAGCCCTCCCGACTCCGAGCAGGCTCTGCACACTTGGAGACAGATGGCAGATCGCACACTTCAGGTCGGCAGTGCCCGTGAACATTTGTGGAATCCAAGCTGCAGTCACAGAGGCAGGGACAGAGCAGGCAGCAGACGCCATGGAGTCCCCCTCAGCCCCTGCCCACCGAGGGCGTGTCCCCTGGCAGGGGCTCCTTGTAGCCGGTAAGGAGGGGCAAGCCCGGGGGGTGGACGGGAGGATGGGGACAGAGACTGGCTGGGTCCCCTGGGGAGGACAGGGGTCTGAGAGGGCACAGAGGGCTTCTGTTTGGCCCCGAGGGGAGAGGACAGGGAGCAGAGTAGGATGGGGTTTGGGGGGCTCAGCAGCAGGGAAATCCCATGACCTGGAAGTGTGAGGGGCAGCAAAACTGCAAGTATGTCTTAAAGGTTACTCACCACTGAGAAATAATTTCTGAAAACTGGTGAGAACAATAACCATTTATATCAGGGGTGACACCAGGAAAACTTAACCAGGGGCACTAAACATCCTTACCACCAACCTCAGAAAGAAGCAGCTGCACCCCAGGAGGAGCAGAACCTGGGACCATGTTCTGTGGGGAGGAGACAGACAAGGAAAGATCTGGATGTGATGTCAGGTCCCCACAGGTGCCATGAAGGACAGATCAGAGAGTGAAGACACAGGGTTGCTAAAGGAGGTGGTCAGGGAAGGTGTCTCCCTAGGCCCCCCCCCCGAGTGTCTGCAGGGGTCTGAGGGCAGTGAGGGGGTGAGATGGGCAAATACCCAGGACAGAGTTATCGAAATAGAAGAAATAACAGGTTCAGAGGTGCTGAAGTAATGGTGGCCATGCTGCTGACATTGACCATGGGGGACACACTCACACACACACTAAGCCTGAGAAATTAAGGGACCAATTCAGGATCTAGGGCCTCATCTTTCTCCCTCAACACAAAGATCCAAATATTGATCAATTTCTCCTTTCCTCCTAGTCTGGCTGTTAACCTTCAGGAGCCCGCCCACCACTGCCCAATTCACTATTGTGTCGATCAATGCCACTGAGGGGGAGGATGTGCTTCTCCTTGTCCTCAATCTGCCTGAGAATCTTCTAGGCTATACCTGGTACAAAGGGAAAAGTGCAGACAACAACCATGTAATTGCATCATATGTAATACAGACTCAGAAATTTACCCCCGGGTCTGCACACAGCGGTCGAGAGACCATATACCACAATGGATCCCTGCTGTTCCGGAACATAACCCTGAATGACGCAGGATACTACACCATGCAAGCTCTAGAGGAAAGTTTGCAGGGTAACAAAGCAACTGGACAGCTGTGTGTGTACCGTGAGTGATTGCTCTCTGCCCTCTGGGTGTGGGGTGGGGTGAATTCTACTCACACACAGAGGACTCACACCCTGGACTCTGCCCCCAACTCCCTCTGCTTCACAACCTGGGAGGTTTGGGTATTTAGTATAAGACACACCCAGTGGAGACAAACTTCCTAAGACCAGAGTTCCCCTCCCAGAGTTGACGCCTGCACACATTCACTGCAGAGAGAAGGACCAGTCTGTTGAGAGTAACTGAGCAGAAAGAGACCCAGCTCCCTGGACCCTCCCCATGACCATGACCCTGAGAAAGACCCTGTGGGGCTCTGTTAGGGGCTGGGCTAAAGCACCCCTGGGGTCCTCACAGAGAAGCTCAGCCTGGGGGCCCCTCCCCAGACCCCCGTCCCAGGGATCCTGACTCTGCGGACATTGGGGAGCCTGTGTCAGGGTGGGTTTGTGCTTCTGGGCAGGACTGACTTGGAGCAATGGTTTCCTGGGTGCCCAGGTCACAAGACTTGTGAACTGGTCACCAGCCTCAAAGGCTGCTTCTAGGCAGGGGTGGAGCCTGGTCATCACCTGAGACTATGAGTGGAGAGCACGTGTGGACAAGGTCTCCAGGCCATTAGCTACCTGCCCTGGGGACATAGGAGACCCCAGAGGAAGGTCAGCGTCCAGGGGAAAACAGAGAAGATGCTGCCCACAGAGCCCCTCGTCCACCAGGGGTCAGAACAGGGGGTCCTCTCTTGGGGACACAAATCATCACAGAGGCTGTTAGCTGGGGCAGCGCCTCTGTTCCAAGTGTCAGGTCAGGAAATTGGGAAACAACTAAGATTCATCCACAGACAACCTGGCAAGTTGAGACCACTCACCATCTACCCTGTTTCATTCAGGGGAACGGAGTTACAGGGGCACATTCACGCAGTCACACAGACCAGGACTGTGCAGTCTGACTCACGCCAAGACCTGTCTGCACTCCCAGCCCATCCTCCCCTCCACTCCAAGGGCCTGTCAGGCATGTGCAGACCCTGACACCAGCTGCCAGTTCAGATCCTTTCTTCTTAGACGTGGCCAGCACAGAGGGAGAGATTCTGGTCTGGGGAGGGAGTCAAAGGAAATGGAGAATTAATCTGTCTTTACTCCAGAACCAAAGCACCTGCAGTAACAATCAGAGTCAGTGCTGGGAACGCCCAGGGCTCCCCCTCAGGTGGCCCATCCACACCTCCCTGCCCTGCACTTGCAATCCCTTCTTTGCTTCCTGATGTGTTGGTGTCACTCCCACTGGATATGAAGGGAAGGACTTTGCTTCTCACTCCTCACTCCACACCTGCAACCAGCTCAGGGACCAGCATAGAAGAAACACCCAGTTGCTTCTGATGAAGAAGAAAAGAATTATGGTGAATGAATGAGTGAGGATAATCTCTATAGAGAATGGAACCGGGATACTGAGTCCAGGGAGATTTGGGCCACACCTGTCACCTCTCCCTCCAGGGGCAGAGACCCATGTTCCATCCCTCTGACCACCTACCTGTCCCTAAAGAACTATCAGGAGCCAAGTCTCAAGGTGATTGTGGGGCTGCTGGGCCATTACAGGCTTTTCCAGGCTGCACTGGTCCAGCCCTGGGTCAGCCCTGGGCTCTTGGCCCCTGGGGTCCGTGAAGTCACCTATAACCCCCACTGCTCACCAAAGACATTTCTGGCTCTCTCTGCTCCTTCCATGTCCCTCATCTGCCTCCTCCTTCACTCCAGCCCCACTGCCCTGCTCTGCTCTGCTTACTCCGCCCTGCAGGCTCCCCAGGTTCTCCTGCTCACACCTGTTCCCAGGCCCACCCTCCTGGGCAACAGGAAGGACACAGAAGTCAGTCAGAGCAGCAGCTCCTGGCTCCATCATGAGCCAAGTTCCCAGGTCACAGGAGAAAGAGCCTCCACTGTGCCCCATCCAGGGCTCCTTCCCTCCCTCATGCCAAGAACAGGAACAGGACACCTGACAGGGACATGTAACCATTGATCTACTCTCTGTGTGACTCTACCAGGGAGTCAAAGGCAGAAGGACAGGTCTCAGTCCCCAAAGCTTACAGGCTCATTTACTCCTGACTGTTGGCTCACATCTGTGTCCTGGTGTGAGGCTTCCATTCCTTCCAGGGACCTGGAGACTTTCCCAGCTGGGGCTGGTGACCCTGCCCCATCTGACTGGTTCACTGCCTGTGTCACACACTTGTGTCCTCATGAGGGACCTTTGCCATGGGGTAGGACCCTCTCAGATGCTAAGGTGCACCAGCCTCTGCCCTTTCTCTGAGGTGCAGCCCAGTTGGAATGAATTTGCTCAAACCCTAGTTTAGTTTCCTCAGTTAGAAAGAAAAGGAAGGGCACATGCCACAGCCTGTGTGTGGGTCCCTCCCCACTGGCCTGACTGTCCACAGAAACTGGTAACTGAGTCTGTCTTCCTGCATGTACTAACATAACATGTATGTTTTCCACCAATTTTGTGTCATCCCTCCCTTTGTGCAACAGACACACCTACACGTGCCCTCTGGTCACTTCTGTCCTCTTAGCAGGACTCACCTTCTCTCTCCAGAGAGTCACTGATTTTTTTCAATAAATATTTTTGTTCTATTAGAGATGTCCCCATTTTTCCCACTTTGCTCTCCTTGACCCCACCTACCACATGCTCCCACAGACAAGCCCCCCCCCCGTTGTCTGTGCCCGTGGGTCATTCATACATGTCCCTTGACTTATGTCTCTCCCTTATGTCTTCCCACACTTATGTCTCTCCCCCCTCTCCTCTGGTCGCTCTCTGTTCTTTGTTTCATGCTTCTGGTTCTATGTTGCTCATGTGTTTGTTTTGTTCATTTGGCTCCAGTCATAAATGAGATCAGATGGTATTTGTCTCTCACTTCCTGGCTTATTTCACTTAGCATAATGCTCTCCACTTCCACCCATGCTGTTATGAATGGTAGGAGCTCCTTCTTTCTTTCTACTGCATAGTATTCCATTGTGTAAATGTACCACAGTTTTTGGACCCACTTATTTGCTGATGGACACTTAGGCTGTCTCCGGCACTTGGCTACTGTAAGTAATGCTGCCATGAACATTGGGGTGCATAAGTTCTTTTGAATTGGTGTTTCAGGATTCTTAGGATACAATCCTAGCAGTGGAATTGCTGGGTCAAAAGGCAGTTTCATTTTTAGTTTTCCGAGGACATTTCATACAGTTTTCCACAGTGGCTGCACCAGTCTGCTTTCTCACCAACAGTGCACTAGGGCTCCCTTTTCTCCACAACCCCTCCAACACTTGTTGTTTGTTGTTTTGTTTATGCTGGCCGTTCTGACCAGTGTGAAGTGGTATCTCAATGCAGTTTTGACTTGCATCTGTCTAATAGCTATCGATGCTGAGCTTCTTTTCATATGTCTATGGGCCCTCTGTATGTCCTCCTTGGAGAAGTGTCTGTTCCTGTCCTTTGTTGATTTTTTAATTGGATTGTTTGTCTTCATGATGTAGAGTCATGTGTGTTCTTTATATATTTTAGAGATCAAACCCTTGGGTAAGATATTATTTGCAAATATGTTTTCCCATATGGTTGGATTCATTTTCATTATAATAATGTATTCTTTTTAATATATCTATTTTATTTATTTATTTTCAGAGAGAGGGACAGAAATATCAATGTGTGGTTGCCTCTCGTGTGTCCCCCACTGGGAACTGGCCTGCAGCCTAGGCATGTGCCCTGACTGGGAATCGAATTGCAATCCTTTGCTTCACAGGCCTGCACTCAATCCACTGAGCTACACCAGCCAGGACTATAATAATGTATTCTTTACCCATGCAGAACCTTTTAATTGATGTAGTCCCATTCTCTATTTTTTTCTTTATTTCATTTGCCCTAGGAGATATATTGGCAAACATATTGCTGTATGGAATATCTGAAATTTTACTACCTGTGTCTTCCTGTAGGACATTTATGCTTTCACAGTTTATATTTTTTTATTCATCTGGAGATTAATTTGTGTATGGTGTAAGTTGGTGGTCAAGTTTCTTCTTTTTTATTTTTTTATTTTTTGCATGTAGCTCTCCAGATCTCCCAATACCATTTGTTAAAGGGGATATTTTTACTCCATTTTATGCTCCTGCCCCCTTTGTCAAATATTAATTGACCGTAGAGGCATGGGTTTATTTCTGGGCTGTCTATCCTCTTCCATTGATCTATATGTCTGTTCTTATGCCAGTACCAGACTGTTTTGATTACAGTAGCTTTGTAGTATAGTTTGATATCAGGATTGTGATCCCTCCTACTTTGTTATCTTCTCAAGACTGCAGAGGCTATTTGGGGTCATTTTAGGTTCCATATAAATTTTTTAAATATTTGTTCTAAATTTAAGGAATATGCCATTGGTGCTTTAATAGGGATTGCATTGAATCTATAAATTGCTTTAGGTAGTATGGGCATTTTAATTATCATTTTAATTATGTTATTTCTTCCAATCCATGATCATGGTATATACTTCCATTTGTTTGTGTCTTCTTTAATTTCCTTCTTCAATGTTCTGTAGTTCCCCTTCAGAACAATGTTCTGTAAAAGACAAGTATAGGTCTTTTACCTTCTTGGTTACATTTATTCCTAGATACTTTATTTTTCTTGTTGCTATAGGGGAGTCACTCATTTCAAACCCACTGCAGCATCTTCCTTTGGTCACAGTGTGTCCCTGGTTGGACTCAGAACTTGGTCTGTGACCTTCAAGGTTCTCTTGACAGAGAGATTCCACCAGAGACTGGTCTTAGATCTTTGGCCCATGAATAATTATTTTCACATATTCTTTCACAATTTAACTCAAAGTTCTATCTCTAATGCCAAACACAAGTGGTCCATGAGGGCCATAAATCAGCAAGTCCCAGCTCCCCCACTGCCCACAAGTCACCCCCTTCTGTAATTGCTGTTGTCTGAGTGTTTGAGGAAGGGTCCTGCCCACTGCAGTGGGAGACAGGACACTAAAGACTGAGGGCAGAGAGCCTGGTTCTGCTGCCAAAACCAGCCAGCTCCCCTGTCCCTCACTATATTCCAAACCACTCCTGAACTCTGCTCAACCCTTTCTGGAGTCACTGTCTCATGTCAGTCACCAGTGAAATAGTCACCAGTCCTGGGCACACTGCCCACCTCATGGCCCTGCAGCCTCAGTCCTGAACATGCTTCTGGTCTCCCTGTGTATTGTTTCTGCTCAACCACCCAGTCCCAGGCCACACGGCCCAGTCTCGTCAAGGTATAAGGACTATGGGATGTCTCTTCATGACTCTAGAATAACCTTGGAATATCAGGCTGCCATGGAAACACATCTTGACTCAGCAATGTAGGTCCGTGCAGCTTGAAGGGACTCAGCACCTGCACATTCCATATAAGATTTCAAGATTGGTCAGGCAGTCAGCTGGCCAGTGAAGAACCAGGACAAGTGCCCAGTGGTCTCTTGACTCCCAGGACTACATCTTTCCATGATCAAACCCTGATACTCTAACTGACTTCTGAGAAAGTCTATACTTTCTCCAGACACATACCTGGAGGACTTATGTTCTCAGAGTGCTCAGATCAGATCCTTATACATCTGTTTGTCTTGAGATACACAGACATGGCTTATTCTTTTAAGGATCCAAGTTAGCTGAGAGGTGACAGGTGCCAACTCTGATTGAAGACGCCTTTGAAAAAGTCAAAGGTACCACCCAGGCTGATGTTCTCTCTGTTACCTGCACAGTGGAGTTACCCAAACCCAGCATCACAACCAACAACTCCAACCCCGAGGAGCACAAGGACCCTGTCCTGTTAACGTGTGAACCTCACACTGAGGACACCACCTACCTGTGGCTGATCAACAATCAGAGCCTCCAAGACAGTGCCAGGCTGGAGCTGTCCACAGACAACAGGACTCTCACTTTGCTCCATGTCACGAGGAATGACACAGGACCCTATGAGTGTGAAACCCGGAACCCAGTGAGTGCTGGCCACAGTGACCCCTTCACTCTGAATGTTCTCTGTGAGTAACTTCTGCCCCTGTGTGGTCCAGGCTGCCACCCAAATCCACACACCAGAGGCCACACTACATCCCTCTCAGCCCAAGTACATAGACCCTCAACCTGGACCACCAGGCTGGCCATGACTTCTTGTCCAAGGAAAATCCAGGTGGGCCTGAGGGTTGGGACAAATGGGTTATCTCAGATCAGTGAACACAGGGGTTGTGGGTGGGACTTTTTACAACAAGACTGGGGCCCAGCTCAGAGGGACACTGTGGTCCTTACACAGACCAGAAGCATCCATCCCCTTCCCTCTGATGACATCATGTGTGGCTTTGCTCTGTTTGCTCCAGATGGCCCGGACACCCCCTCCATTTTTCCCTCGGACTCCTATTACCCACCAGGGGCAAACCTCAGCCTCTCCTGCCATGCAGCCTCTAACCCACCTGCACAGTATTCCTGGCTTATCAATGGGAGGCCTCAGCAACCCACACAGGAGCTCTTCATCCTCAATATCACTGCAAATGACAGTGGATCCTACACTTGCTTCGCCCATAACTCTGTCACTGGCCACAATACGACCACAGTCAAGAATATCACAGTGACTGGTAAGTGCCTCCTGGACCATCAGCACTGAGCTCTGGGGTGGAGGTCAGTCTGGTTTTCAGAAAAGAGCCTGGGTATTGACTCCATCCTGTGCCCATGGATATAGCAAATCACACACCCTTCCCCTGAACCCTCCCCCACATCTCTGTAGTCTCTCTCCTCCCCTTGCTCCTCTGATTTCTCAGGGCAGAGCTGGGGCCCAGGTTTCTAAAGTGAGGAAGTGGGTTCTTTCAGGCCCAGTAAGCTCCATGCGGTGGAGACGGCTCCACAGAGGCAGAAACACAGGGGCCTCATTGTCAACTTTCTTCTTCTGTCACTAACTCATTCCTCTGTCTCCTTCTTTTGTGTGACCCACTCCATGTGCTCCTGGGAACATAGGAGGCTTTGAGTCAAGCTCACCTCTTTCTCCCCAAACAAAAGAGTGAAAGTCCCTCCGAGGAAGGTGAACAGGACAGACCCCTGCTCCCTGCTCTGCTCCAGGCTCACCTGGTGTCTGACTCTGCTGCCCCCTGTGCTGGGACAGGGGCCCTGGAGGAGTTGCACTGTCGGCCTGTCCTCAGTTTGGCCAAACAGAGCCACCCACCAACACCAGAGCCTCCCTTCAGCCAGGCTGCTGGAAACAGCCACAGCGTAGCAGTGTCTGAGCTGTGTCCTGGCTCTGAGGTCACCAGCTGTGTAACGCTGTGTGACACCAGCGTGTGTGATGTTCCAGAGGAGGGCAGTGAGTGATGGGGCTTCCCTGACAGATGGGTAGACTCCTCCATGAAGTCCCTTCACGGGATGGAAGGAGCAGTGCCACAAAGCTTGAGGTTTACAGAGAAAGTTGAGTCCCAGATTTTGTTAAACTGACTGCTTCTCTCTAGAGTTTTCTCTTCTCCGTGATACTCACTCCACAGGCCAGGAAGTGAGCGTTCTAGTCACACTGAGAAAGCCTTTGGACTGGAATTTATTGAGACCCTAAGGTGAGAAAGACTGGCCGGGCTGCTCTCATTGTCTTATAAATTATTTAATGAACAGGAAAAGCCTTCCCTTCTCAGCCTCAGTTTCCTCACCTGGAAACTAGAATGAAACAGCTGGACCTTATAAATGTTGTGAAGATGTTTATTATGAGATTTAATGAGATTAGAGCCCTTAGGGTCACTCACATTTTGGGCTCCATCAGTGCTGCCAAATAGTGTTATTATTTGTATGAACATTGTTGTCATCAGCTGTCAGTCAAGACTTGCTGAAAATGTTGTTTATCACTCACTGCTTCTGTGACCTCCTGTGGTTTTTAAGCACCTCCTGTCCCAGATTCTGTCAGTGCTCCATGGGGGTGACGCCCCGTTTCTCCTGGGGATGGAAGGATCAGACGATGTACAGGGATTCCCACCCTTCCTGGGCCACTGAACACAGTTGGTGCGTCCTTACCACTAATCAGCACTGAGTAGGCAGGTCAGGGCCTGCCCTCTTGAGAGTGTCCTCAGGGCTGGAGAAGAGAAAACAGAGGGAAGAGATACAAGGTGAGAGGGGAGAGGAGTCAGGAGGACAGTGAACAGGACATGGGAGGGAGTGGCAGGTGTGAGAGCACGTGCACAGTTAGAGCCAATGAAAGGTTCCAGTGTGTGAAACAACAGGATGCAACTGCAGGCAGGGGATCAAGTGAGGCCTTGACTTTCCCACGACGTCAGACGGGGTGGTTCCTGTCCTGGGTCCTCAGTCCCTTCTCTGGTCATTGCCTCTCCTGTGGCCCACCTGCGTGTGGCCCTTCCCCTGTGGGCCCAGGTCCACCGTGGTTTCTTAAGGCCTTGCCTCACAAAGACAGTGGGATGACAACACTCCAAAACCACACACAGGTGGTGGCAGTTCCTTCCTCCCTAAGCAGGCCTCCCCCCTGCAAGGCCCCTTGCGGTTTCCCCTGGGAGGACTTGGACCTCAACCCTCCCTTCTTCTCTTCTCCTTTCAGCAGAAAATGACTACATGGGCTACTCCTCAGGGACCATTGCTGGCATTGTGATTGGGGTCCTCTTCATGGTGGCGCTGGGGACCTCCCTGGGGTATTTTCTGTGCCGCAGGAGGACTGGGAGGTACCATGGCATTTTCTTCTCCAGAATTCTGCCCCCCCACCCAAAACTGACCTCATTACACCCCAGGCCAAGAGGATGGAGGCCCCTCCCTGGTGCTAGGCTGGCTCTCTGTGGCCTCCTGACTTCCCATGCATATTCCTAACTCCCTCCCTCCAGCTCCACCTGCACCAGCTGCTGACCAGGGCAGTATTCTCTACAGCTTCCTCCTCTATACATTAGTCACAACTAAGGAACTGTCCCCTCAGAATGGTCCCAGTTCACTCCTCACGCCTGCATGGGCCTGGCAAGGAGTAAGTGCTCAGTGAGCCACCTACTGCTGTTTGTCTGAGTCCACCCACCCTGTGCGGGGGATCTGCTGCCCCAGGATCTAAAAGGCATCCTGGCCAAGGTCACACAGCTGAGGATGACAGTGGAGAGAGGTCCCCGCCCTCTAATGGAAAGGGAGACCCTCCTTGTCCCCTGTTGTGACACCAAAGCTCTCCCTGCTCCCCTCACAAGTAAGTCTGACCTCTCCTAGGGCCAGTGACAAACAAGGCCTCACAGAGCACCGACCCCCAGCGTCCACCCCTGGTGAGTGTCTGCTCAGCCTGGGACAGGCTGCAGCCCCCGACCTGCCCCACCGTGTCCTATCCTGCCTGTCCCCTCAGGCTCTGACTCTTCCCTGGGCTTCAAAGCAGAGCTCATCACCCTCTCAGCACAGGGGACCCCAATCACCCGTCACCCCTGACCTGTAGGGCTGCCTCATGGGTCACCACCTCCCTCACTGGACCCAAAAATGGCCAGAGGGTCTGTTTCTTGGAGATGCTTTATCACCCCTAGTTGTCTGGGAGCCAAAGACCCACCCCCTCCCAGGAGAATGGCAGGAGCTCCCTCAGCCCTGGGTGCTAACTCTTGTGTCTGCCCCCAGGCCACGGTCCCTCTGGAGCCTCCTTCTCCCCGGTGAGTCTCTTCCCTCCCCGTCTGTCTCCACCCAGGGTCCCAGCTGTGCATGCTCAGGGCAGGGGCACCGTCCAACCTCCCCACACAGCAGAGACCCCATCCCCAGAGCAGCCAGCAAAAGGCCCACCCCACCCTGGCCAGGAGGGAGCACCCACATCAAGGGCAGACCCGAACCCAGTCCTGAGTCTGTGCTGGTCCCCTGGGGTGACCTGAGGGGAACCAGTCAGCACCAGTGAGGGTTCTCAGGTTAACAAGGATGAGGGGGCTGCAGCATGGAATGAAACTGGGGTGCAGGGTGACAGGTAGGTGTGGGGACAGCTCCTCAGGAGGCAGAGCTGTCACTCCTGTGCAGAAATGGCCTCCTGCCCTGTCCCCTGATGCCCTCTCTCTGCCCCCTGCATAGGGTCCCCTCCCTGGCCCCAGGACAGCCAGCCCCATCTATGAGGTGAGTGTGGGTGATGAATGTTCTGTCCTGCAGGTCACAGGGGCCCAGACCTGCCTCAGCTCAAGCCTGGCTGTGCTTCATGTTCAGGAAACCGCAGCATAATGTGCAAACAGAGGGTGGGGAGAGGGAGGTGGCCGGGGACAGGCACCCCCAGCACAGGCAGGCCCCAGTGGGCCTGTGAAACCCTGCACTTGTCCTGAGGAGGCTGCAGGGCTCAGGGGTCTGTCCTTTCCCTCACAGGACTTGCTGCACCCGAGCACAGACGTGTACTGCCGCATCAGCCCCAGAGCCAGTGGGGCTTCCTAGTTCCTCCAGGTTCAGCTCCTCCAGGGCTGTGGGGAGGGACAGCCTGAGACCCAGACCCTGGGGGTCAGGAATTGGAGCCTGAGCCAGAGAACCAGCCCTATGCCTGGAGGATATTCGGGGACTTGGGCCTAAGGTCAGGATCCCTCCTGAATACTGATGACCCAGACTGACCACCCTGACCCTGATGGACCAGGGTAAAGGCTCCCATCTTCCAGAAAGTGGCCAGCCACTAACGCGATGAGGACCACCTGTGTGATCTGAATAAAGGGGGCCTTCCTCTCATTTACTCTTTCTACCCATGGGTACTTTTTTAAAAAAGATTTTATTCATTTACTCATAAAGAGAGGAGGAAGGGAAGGAAACATAGAGGGAGGGAACATCATTGTGCGAGAGAAACATGGATTTGATGCCTCTCCCCGCCCCCAACCAGGGACCTGGCCTCCAACACAGACCTGTGCCTTGACCGGGAATTGAACCTGTGACCTCTTGGTTTGCAGGACAATGCCCATCCCACTGAGCCTCACCAGTCAGGGCCAAAAGGGAACTTCTTTAGCAAAACTTCACCTGAAACTCTTGGTCCTTTTGCTCCAGGGTCACACAAGAAAAAGAACTCTCCAGGCTGCTGTCTCTGTTTCCTGGGAGAGAGGAGACACTGTGGGTATGGAGATTGGGGTGGGGGTTCAGGAAAAAGTAGAGGCCTGATTGGGTCCCTTGGCTAGTTGTGGCCTCTCCCTATTGTGCCAGGGTGACAGGGTTCCTCTCTGGTCCATGACATGCAAGAATCAAACCAGTGAGTGCATGCGTGGGCGGACCAACAAACCAATGTTTCTATTTCCTCTCTCTCTCTTCTCTCTTCTCACACACACACACACAAATCAGTAAGTACAAAATAAAAATAAAGCCACTGCAGAATTAAGAGGAGTTGAACCAACCAGGAGAGCCCTGGGCTGTCCTCACACAGCCCTGGGGACCAGGCCATGGACACCCCAGGGTTTGTCCCTTTGCACACGTGCCCTGTGTCAGGAGCACCCAGTGGGGTCATCTCATGTTCTCACAAAGATGAGCAAGGGTCCTTCTGTGAATGAGTCATGGCTTGCACCCATGGGTGGGGCATATTCCTGAGTGGAGCCCCTTTTGAGTGTCTGAGTGTCCAAGTGTCCTGTGTCCTTCCTCCTTCCTCACTCAGAACCTGGTGGCCTCCACAAAGTTCTCTATCCCCAAATCCAGGATCCAGGAAGCTGACTCTGTCACTGAGTTTCTGCTTTGACCCAAAGACTAGCCCTCAGGTCGTCTTCACATCTGGGGAACACAGACAGAGGCTGTCAGAGTAACCAAGTTGGCAAAGACCCAGGACTCCTGCCCTGAGAAGCCCCGCCTTGACTTGTCCATGACCTCAGCCCCCACTTCCCTTCAGTCTCCTACTGCACCTGGATCTCACTGACACAGCGTCCTTTCCACAACTGAGCATCCAGGTGTTCCACCAACAAACTCTCACCCAGACTCCCATGGAGACAGGACCAAGTGTCTCCTCCTGCACCTGGCCCAGCTCCTCCCACACACACCTCACCTGCAGCCCCCTCTGCACACCTGGCCCTGCAGCTCTCAGTCCCTCCCTGAGGGCCGAGGATGGGTGCTGTTCCCATTCAGGTCCACTCCAGTCAGGGTGTCCGTGTTCACACAACAAAGCTGGTCCAATATGGAGACACGGAATCACATTCAGGAGATTGTTCCGAGTTGTCCAAGCATCATCTGTCATGAGATGAGACACAGTAGCAAACCCTCACGTGTTCACATCACAACGGAGCTCTGACTCCTTCCCTGTCCCAATGCACACAAGCTTGGGATCCACAAGGTGACACCTCTTGCTGGTTTCCCACGGCTGCTGCAGCCAATCACCACACACTTAGAGGACTCACATGGCACAAATCACAGCGTTGACATGATGGTTCCTTCTGGAGGTTCTTCCTGGTGTCCTCGCCTCTTCAAGCTGTCAGAGATGACTATATCCCTGGGCTTGTGGCCCCGCCTCCATCTTCAGAGCTGGAAGTGCAGCATCTTGAAGCCCCTGAACTCTGCTTCCATCACCACATCTCCTTCTGGGTCCCTGCCTCTCCTGCCCCCTCTGTCCCTTATAAGGACAGGTCCCTTGTGATCATAATGGGCCCAGTGATGAACCACCTTAAATTCCTGATCACATGATCTTTCATCTGTAAGTTCCCTTTATAAGGAGACAATATTTGCAGATCCTAGGCATGAGGATGTAGACTTTAAGGGCCCTTGTTGTGTCCATACCCCCGTCTCTGGGCTAAGACCATCATCTTCCTCCACCATGAACTGCCTGTGGGCAGCCTGGACTTGGTCCTGCTGACTCTGGGGTCAGTTCATGCAGTGACGCCCACAACACCCTCCCGCCTCCAAGGGAGGGAGACAGAGGCCTTCCACAGGCCCAGCAGCCTCCTCCACCTCCTCCTGTTAGTAAACCTCCTTGTAAACAGTGAGAACAAGGCAGACACAGCTCCCAACTCCCAGTGCACAAGCCCTGGTTGCTGGTCATCAGCACCATAAAGGGGATCTTGGGATGCTGGTCTCTGGGGCTGCAGCAGCATGGACACCACGAGAAGAGACTTGTTCCTATTCCACATGAGAAATACACAATGAGGGAGATGTTGTTATCAGGAAAACCAGATGCTGCTCCAATTTGTGAATCGTGACCCCCTTGCACATGGCTGCACATCAGTTGATGGCACCGTTCACACAGGGCCAACTCCTGCACCCAGAAGGTGACCTTCGGAGGCTGACCCTGCTCCAGCCTCCGGAAATCTCCCTGCCCTGAGGGTCAGGCCACTGTCTTACCTACAACACAGAGGGGACATTCCCAGAAGAGCTCTTCATATGCTCCCACGACACTAGGTGCTGTCCTTCTCTCTCCCTCACAATCATCACTCACGAGTCCCTCCTACAGCTTCTGACTAAGTGCCCAGCTCCCTGCTCCAACACAGGGATCACGTCAAGCCTGTCTCTGTGGAGTCCCCAGGCCAAGCCCAGTAATGACACAGAGGAAGTGCTCAGGGAGTGCTCACAGGGACAGAACCAAATCAATGAAGCTGAAACCAAAGAGCAGACAGATGAGACACTGGAAGACCCATGGACACAGGCGCCTTTGAGGGCTCTCTCGTGCACCTGGGTCCTGGACCCTCAGGAAGTAAGGAGGACAGGTGCACAGGTGAGGGAGCTTGAGGGACAAGCTCCATCAGGGCCAGGACACTGACCACACCCACCCTCACCTCTCAGCTGTGAGCAGCCCCACTCCCCACAGTGGGCTCTCCTGGCACCACCTGCTCTTGTCACACAGGGTCCTGACCCAGCCCAGAACCCGTGACCCAGGTCCAAGGTGATGTCAGCACCAGGCAGGACTGAGCCCCCTGACTGCAGAGGGAGTCAGGACCAGTGTCCCACAGCCCAGCTGATCCACCCCCATGGCCTCTCCTCCCAGGACAGAGTCACTCTTCACATCTCTAGGGGCTAGTCCTGCTGGGACCCCCAGGGCTTGACCATCTGTTTCTGGAAGCTGTGGACAGGCTAGAGGCCCAGGGAGATAGAAAGGAGTCCCTCTCCCCAGTCATCACCCACTGACCCCCTCTCACCCCAGGGTCATCTCCGTGACCTTCCTGCTGAGAGGAAACCCAGTGTCCCCAGAGCATTAGAGAACACGGGGAAGACCCAGTGTCAAGCTGGGTTTCTGTGTCACACACCAACAGAGTCACTTGCTTTTGGGGACCCTGGGGTTCTCTGTTGTGTTGTGCTGAGAGACCCAAGAGTAGGACACAGCAGAGGCCAATGCCAGGGTGGGAGAGAGACAGTCTCTCAGGATGTGGGTCCCCATCAACCATGTCAATGAAAGTGGGCAAACAAGAAGGAGGGGAGAGGAGAGGCAGGACTTGGGGAAGGAGAAGGGGGTGCTGGGCACAGTCCCTCACCCCCTGCTTTACTGACTGCCAGGATGCTCCTTTCCTGGAAGATCTACCCACAGGGAGGAGGGATAGCAGCTCTAACCCATCTAAACAGAGGGGGCGTGAGCATTTCTGGAATCCAAGCTCCTGTCACAGAGGGAGGGACAGAGTGGGCAGCAGGACACATGGGGTCTCCCTTAGCCTCTGCCCACAGAGGGTGGATCCCCTGGCAGGAGCTCCTGCTGGCCAGTAAGGAGAGGATACTCCCTGGGGTTGGATGGGAGAATGGGGACAGAGAC